TAACCTCTATGTAGTAACAGTAGATTTTAATTGAAACGAAATCTGTATAAATTATTCAATGTTCGTTATTTAATAATATAGCTGTCACAGGCTTAAGACAGTATTTGAAGCATAGCGCAATTCTTTTTTTATTAAAACATGGCTATGCTTGCGGAGCCGCGGCGGAAGCAAAAGTGGACGTTAAATCCACGAGGAAAACAATGGAGCGAAGGTGTGCTTGTTCGTTTAAATTTATTCGATGAGAATTCTATACATACGTACACGTTAAATATTTGGCAGCAACCGCGAACTCTATTTCAGAGAATGTCGAAGATGATTCAGAAGATTGAAAAAGAAATACGTAGAACAATAGAATATAAACAGTAAATAAATCTCGTCTTTACAATAGGAACTATTTACAAAATGATTTGGCATAATCTCAGTCGTATATTATACCATTAAGAGATAAACTACCAGGAACCCCTATTCTACAAATGAGCTGTAAAAACAGTCGACCTAGATTAAATGAAAAATGATTTTTTAAAACACCGGATCGATCCTCGATAAAAGATATTATTCAGAGTGCAAGAACTTATTTATACGATTCAGTGTGCAATACAATTGTAAATTACGATTCGACGTCTCGTCTGAGGTTCATAGTCTACTACTTATTCGTGTTACGTAAGTAAAAAGCGTTCTGAAAAATACATGGACGGAAGAGTCGCACGTACACATGCAAGTGATGTCAAAGAATGATAAAACTCGCTGTCATTAACTATCAACAACCGTAACACGTTCTCCCTCATTCAATTATATCCGATCATTTCCTCTTCTTATTTTTCTTAATCCATTTACACGATTAACGTACACATACGCACCATTATCCTATATTTACTGATCATGGAAAATGAATTTTGGTTTAAAAAAATGAAGGAATTTTATTTAAAATAAATAGCCAATATTAATTATTCTATTGCACATTAGATTAGTCATTATACGAAACATTGCATGAATTTTTATTAGAAGGTTCATGGAAGTATGTGACGCAAACGAATCGTCATCAGTGTCTTTAATTAATTTCTTCGCCCTCGTCGCAAACCTTTTAAAATTTGTTTAATTGGCGCCACGCTGAGATTCGATCGTCGTGACGTCTTATTTCGTCACGGGTGCGTATTTACTCACTAAAGGTGATAAACCCGGTTTGGAGTATCGATCCAACTGAACGCAATGCGACGACGTGAAAAACAGCTGAGTTTGGCATTAAATTTCATAATAATTCAATTCTCGGTTAGTTGATTGTAACACAAGGTTGATGTAGACTACGCACAGTGTAGCGTAAACTGGCCTCGATCTAAGCCCCTTTGAAATTTTCCAGTGAAAATGGAAGTGAAAACTAATATGCATATTTTCTACGTACTGCAATCCTGAAATATGCTCTTTTAATTGACTACTATATTAAATATTTATCATAAAAATCTGCAATTACATTAGAAATGATACATAAAAATTTTTTTAATGACGGCTCAAGTAGAATCGAGATGCTCCAGATATAGTTCTTCAGCTTAGGCACTTCGAAAACCGAGGAATCAGCTGTTTTCAGTTTTGACGACAGGTTTTAAGCAATGAAAGTCGATATCAGCTACCCTTTAACTCCTCCCTCAGAATCAGGTAATATCGAATCGCTGTTAATGTTAATGGATTCACAAACACAGTGAAAGTGATAATACCTGCTGCGTTTATCAATCGTTGACAGACAACCATTTCTCAGGATAATAATAGAACTGAACTTAAAGGATCGCCATAATGCTGGAAAGTTTTTTTAGAACTTACTAGTTATAGTACCTTTTGTACTAACAATTTAAATTACTTATAAACAAGCAATATAATGATTTTATTAAGTATAGAATTTGTAATTGGAAATCACTTTTGTAACAATTCTGCAATGGAATAAATAATCTTAAAATACTGGATGACCATGAAAAAGAATTACAGAGGTGAGAGTGTTCTGTTTTATTTCTCCGGGGCAGCATTTTGGCGAATACGTTAGCCCAAAAAAAGGGCGTCAGCCTAATCGATAATCGTTGACAGGGTTGTGGGAATTCGTAATTTAAGGGACCTCGTCCTGTTTATATTTCAAAGCTCCACAACTATCAACTTATTTTCTGTTTATCAAGAATATAATGTTTAAAGTAACTTGGCTAATGTTAAATACTGACACGATTTTCTTATCTTGTTTTAAGGAAAAAAATAAAACAATGTAAATTTAGGTCAGTAGTACACTTTGCAATGAATGAAACTATAGACAATTGAAGACTACAACAAAGGACTCTTTCTTTTAGACATATATACGCAACGAGATAATTATAATCTATGTATGTGTACTTATAAACAATCTGTATAGGTGTACGTAAGTATTTTTATAATTCCTCTATTTTTCTGTACTGTCAATGCACACTGGATTTCCTTTAAAACATTTTTTCGCAAAATGGAGCTGATAAAAAAGGGAATCGAGAACTACCAACGCAAGGATCATAGTGGATGTCTCAGAATGGGTTATGTAAATAACAATGAATCAGATATATGCGAATATTACGTGAGCAAAACAAATTGATTCACGTAATGAGGGATTACTTTAAACCGATTAAAAAATTCTAAGTCACGTAAGATTATGCATAAATTATGGGAATCAACCCTGTGCTATGAATCACTGCACTGACTCATTTTAAACAGGAGAGCTTAATCCCGTCATTAAACTCGCTTATTTTTTAAATATAGTTCGATTTTAAATGGAAATCAGATTTATTTAAAATTCCGATCGAGTTTAATTAATTTCTAATCGTCAGGATTAACT